TTACAAAATATGGACTAATATTAAATCATATTAAAAAGTTATTAATATTACAAATTAATATTTTATCAATCATCAAAATATTATACAACATGAAATATTAGTATCTAGGTAGCATATTATTAAATAGTTTGACCATATAGTTATTTTCGAGCGTTTGCTAGTGAAAACCAATTAACGATATATTATGATACATCAACCCCCCGAAACTCTTCCGATCTATTACACCCTCGATACAAGAAAACAAGACAATATTACAAAAAGCTATCATACTCAGCGGTTCTTTTAGTACTCTAGCCACTATCCAAAATTTCTTTCAACCAAATATAGTAYAGCCAAGAAAATCCAGAACCAAATAACTACCCTCAAATTCAACGCACTGACCATCACCATGATTTGGATTTCAAGTCATGTTGGAATCCTCGAAAATGTACTGGCTGATACATAGACTAAACAAGTAATAATCTCCTTTGACTCGCGTTATCTTTCTATGAGCTCATTTCATGATATAAAACAGTCCACCCACAMGCATGTTCTGAATCAATGGCACCACTTTTGGTCCACTATATACACCAAACTTAATGAAATAAAAGCAACCATCCTCCCATGGCTAACCTTSCCACTATCTAGACGACAAGGGGTAATCATGAATCAACTCAAAATAGGACACACATGATGGCTGACCTACTCACCTTATGACCAGAACAGATAAAATGTTTAAACGAGTCCATMAATTTTGATCAACATAATAGGTATGATTTATATCATATAGAAAAACCCTCCATAAACARCTTATAATCAAAGTAATAACATAGCAGGGTTGGTTGTTGATTCTGTTAAATGTCTGATTTATTTTATATAGGTTAGAGCAGTGGCAATTKACCGYAGAAGGCAAAATACTGGATCGTCAACATGACATTTTGATATTGTCTTAATTTTTTTTTGTCTTCATATAATTATTTTAAAATATATTTACTATTATAAAAAAAGATTTAACAATAATTATTTTCAATGGATCTCATTTATTTATTATTTTAATCTTTTGGACTCTATTAGAAATTACTTGACGACCGCTGGGGTTAGAGAAAGAATACAAATCAGACATCCTCTTACACTTTCCGAGTTAAGTATATTATTTGTTGACTATTAACTTGTGAGTTATTACTTAATAACGTTTTTAGTGGTGACTTACCTTAACTAACTAAAATATATTTATATTCACTTAAATTTCACTTACCTATTTGCCCACATTTGAAAAATAGCTTAGTGGTACTTAATAATGCTTGTTTACATTAAGATTACTTATATTTATTATTATTACATGATTAGAATATAATATGASCTTAGAATAAATGATACATCGAAAACTTTTTATTCAAACAGACGTCATTCGAACATGAGACCAGCTCCCGAGCGTTTAATCAGCTATAACACTAAATTACCAATCGAAAAACGATAACCTTAAATGAACYTTAACCTAACGATAAACTTTAACCATACCTAACTCATTATGTACAAGCAATTTTTTGAAACTATGTTGGATACATTGCATACTTATTCTTCGTTATATTTTTTCGATTGTGGGATATATATGTTTTATATCAGTTGATTTCATATTTTGTAGCAGTTTATTTTTCTAAGAATTTTTATGAATAAAAATATAACTTTGGATGTAAGTATTAAAACTTAAGACAAACAAAGTGTTACGGTTCTCTACAAAATCGTGATCAACTACTGCACTCCTAATATAGGTATGTACTTTAAA